GSMAMYYCSRWTTTTTTTTWAAATTTTTTTATTCTAATTTGTTATGTATGACAGCAGAATGCATTGCAGTTCATATTACATATATAGAGCACATTTTTTCATATCTCTGGTTGTATACAAAGTATATTAACACCATTCGTGTCTTCATTCATGTATTTTGGATAATGATGTCCATCTCATCCCTCCATCGATTTCTAACTCCATGCCCCCTCCCTTTCCCTCCTACTCCCTTGCCCTATTTAGAGTTCGTCTATTCCTCCCATGTTCCCCCTCCCTACCCCAGTATGCATCAGCCTACTTATATCAGAGAAAACATTTGGCATTTGGTTTCTTGGGATTGGCTAATTTCACTTAGCATTATCTTCTCCAACTCCATCCATTTACCTGCAAATGCCAYGATTTCATTCTCCAACTCCGTCTATTTACCTACAAATGCCATGATTTTATTCTCTTTTATTACTAATATTCTATCTGTGTTTATACTACATTTTTTTAATCCATTCATCTACTGAAGGGCATGTAGGTTGGTTCCATAGTTTAGCTATTGTGAATTGTGCTGCTATGTGGCCGTGTCCCTATAGTATGCTGTTTTTAAGTCATTTGGATATAGACCAAGGAGAGGAATAGCTGGGTCAAATGGTGGTTTCATTTCTAGTTTTCCAAGGAATCTCCATACTGCTTTCCATATTGGCTGTCCCAATTTGCAGTCCCACCAGCAATGTATGAGTATGCCTTAAAAAGGCATTACTTTAAAACTGAAGTTAATTTTTTTGTTTAGTTGTTGATGCATCTGTATTTGTTTATTTAAAATTTTTTTTTTACATAATGTTTTTTAGTTGTCAAAGTTATCTTATTTATTTATATGTGGTGCTGAGTATTGAACCCAGTGCCTCACATATGCTAGGCAAGTGCTCCACCACTGAGCTACAAACCCAGCCCATAAAACCTTATTTTTATGTACCCTGTTGTTCTTTTTCTGCTATCTATCAAAAGAAATGGTAGGTTTCTGCCAGAGATTTGCTTTTGCTGTGTGTCCTTCCATACCTCCAGCTCTATGACTTTGCAGAAAGAGGAAAGGGGATGAACCAGTTGATTGCTGTTGCATCAGGGGTTTTGTTAATTCAAGGAAGAGAACTTTTCTGTGTTCTCAGTGGTCCTAGCAGGAATGGGTTGAAGTAGGAAAAGTGATTAGATTAATTTTTTTGGGTGTGTGTGTGAGTAATTATGCAACTGAAATTTGTCTCAATTTTATAAATTATTATAGGAAGCTATACTGGTACATCCTTTTGTTTGTTTGTTTCTTTTTTTTTTTTAGCTTTTAATTGACTGTGACTGCCTAATTCAGTGGTTAGAGAAGGATGATATTTAGACTACAGTTATTAGTCTGATTCCTATGATAGTTTTGGTCTCTTGCGTAACTATAAATGGTATTTGAACTCATTTAGGCATATTGGGTTGACACATAAATAGTTCTGTAGGATATATGTTAGCATGGTAGGCAAAATGTCCTTATGATGGGTTAATAATACTATTGTTTTCATAATTGGGCATCATTAAACACATTGCACTTGATAATGGCTTATTTTTTTTGCTATCCTTATTTCCATATAACTTATTTTTGTTCTACTGAGGTACTTATTAGTTGGATACATGCTTATAATTCTGGCAACTTGGGAGGCTGAGGCAGGAGGATCACAAGTTTGAGGCCAGCCCCAGCAACTTAGCAAGACTGTCTCAAAATAAATAATAAAAATGGCCAGCAATGTAATTTAGTGGTATAGCACCCTGGGTTCAATCCCAGTACTTAAATAAGTAAATAAAATATTAATTTTTTGAACATTTGTGTATCTGATCAGGTGCCAAAATAGATACATTTGTATCCAGTCATCTCTGGCAAAAGTGTCCTCAAAAAAGGTAAATGAGAAAGACGTTGATAAGTTTCAGCTCTACCAGAACTTTTCATGTAACATAAGAAACATCCAGCATCATCAGGTGAGTAAGGAACTACTTGTATGTTCTGATGCCAATAGTAATGATAGTGCTCTATACTTGCCTGCTGCTTTACTTACCTAAGAATTTAAAGAATTTTATGTCATCTGGTTTCTTTTTTCTTCATACACATTTCTTATAAAATATTATATTTTCCTAATTTCACAAATGGGAAACTAAAGACCTAGAGAAGTTAGTGACACTGGGAATTTTTAGCAGAACCAACAGTATAACAACTTAGGTCTCTTGCTTTCTGCCTGGTGATCTTTCATGTTAGACTCTGATTCCCCGTTTGCTTGGGTTTCTTTTCCACATGAAATACAAATCAGAGGTGTCTGGTTTAGAATAAAGTGTGATAGATCTCATTTGGTTGCATGAACCATAGTAATTGTTACTCAGTCTTCTGATTTCATTTTCCATTTTACTAATTTTTTAAAAAATATAGTCATTTAGGGAATGCATGCGTATATTGTAGAATTTAAAAAACATTGGTTTTTAAATAATATAGGAGAAACAAGAGGAGTTATAAATAAAAAATACGGTAGTACTGGCTTTTATATTTACCTGTATAGTTACCTTAACCATGTTCTTTATTTCTTCATTTGGCTTTGAGTTACTGTCTACTGTCTTTTCATTCCAATCCTAAACTGMAAACACTGACCCCCACTATATTTTATGTAGGGCAGATCTACTAATGACAGACTTTTGTAGTTTTTGTTTATCTGGGAARTCTTTAAGTTCTCCTTTTAATTAACTTTTACATAACTGCAGTAAAATACACATAATATAAAATGTATGATCTTCATCATTTTAAGAATGAGTAATGTTTCTACAACCTGTCTCAGAACCTCTTCATCTTGCAAAACTGAAACTCTACCCATTAAACTTTTTCATTATTTCTGAAGAATGATTTTTCTGAGTATAGAATTCCTAATTGGCAGTCTTTTGTAACTTTGGATATGTCATTCACTGTCTTGTGGTATGCCTTCCATGATTTTTCTTTTTATTGTAGCAGGCATTGAACCCACGGGTGCTCAGTGGCCACCGAGCCACATTCCCTAGCCCTACTCCCCTTTTAATTTTTTATTTTGAGACAGGGTCTTGCTAAATTGCTTAGGGACTCCCTAAGTTGCTGAGGCTGGCTTTGAACTAAATCCTTCTGCCTCAGCCTCCCAAACCATTGGGGTTATAGGCATGTGCCACCATGCCTGGACACTTCATAAATTTTGATGAGCAGTCAGCTGCTAATCTTAGTGTGCCAAGTTACTTCTTTCTCACTCTTCTTTCAAGATTCTTTGCCTTTGTCTTTGAAATTTTGATGATAACGTGCCTTGGGAGTCTCTGAGTTTATTCTATTTGTAGTTCATTGTGATTCTTAGATGCGTAGAGTAATTTTTTTTTAAAAAGTCAAAATTGATAAACTCCTGGTCATTATTTCTTCAAATAATCTTTTGGCCTCTTTCTCCCCTCTTGTGGAACTCCCATTATATGTGGTGCTTGGTAGTATCCCACAGGGACTCTATTAGTTTTTTTTATTCCTTTTTTGTTCTCATCTCAAATTGTTTAATTTCAATTGTCCTGTCTTCAACTTTGATGACTTGTTTTCTGCTTGCTCAAATTTGCTGTTGAAAATAAATGACCTGGGGCTGGGCTTATAGCTCAGCAGCASAGAGCTTGCCTCACACATGTGAGGCACTGGGTTCAATCCTCATCATCACCTAAAAATAAATATAAAGATATTGTGTACATATTTWAAAAATCTTAAAAAGAAAATAAATGACCTAACATTACATCTCAAAGCCCTAGAAAAAGAAGAATAAACCAACACCAAAAGTAGAAGACAGAAAGTAATTAGAATCAGGACTAACATCAAATGAAATTGAAACAAAAGAAACAACTGAAAAAATAGATAAAACGAGAAGCTGATTCTTTGAAAAAAATAAATGAAATTGACAAACACTTAACCACCCTAAAGAAAAGGAGAGAGAAAACTCAAATTACTAAAATTCATGATGAAAAAGGAAATATCACAACAGATACTATTGAAATACAGAAGATAATTACAAAMTTTTATGAAAAATTGTACTCCAGTAAAATAGAAAATCTTGAAGACATCAACAAATTTCTAGACATGATCTTCCCAAACTGAATCAGGAGGATATGCACAATTTAAATAGGTCAATTTCAAGCAATGAAATAGAAGGTGCCATCAAAACCCTGCCAACGAAGAAAAGCCCAAGACCAGAGGGATTCTCACGTGAGTTCTACAAGACTTCCAAAGAAGAATTAATACCAATACTCCTCAAATTATTCCATGAAATATAAAAAGAAGGAATTCTTCCCAATTCTTTCTATGAGGCTAGTATCAACCTGATACCAAAAGCAGACCCATCAAAGAAGGAAAAATTCAGACCAATATCCCTGATGAACATAGATGCCAAATTCTTCAATAAAATTATGGCAAATTGCATACAAAAACATATTAAAAAGAATGCACAATGATCAAATGGGGTTCATTCCAAGAATGCAAGATTGGTTCAATATATGGAAATCAATAAATGTAATTCATCACATTGATAGACTTAAAGGTCAGAATCATATGATCATCTCAATAGCTGCAGAAAAAGCATTTAACAAAATATAGCACCCCTACATGTTGAAAACACTAGAAAAACTAGAAATAGTAGTAACATACCTGAACATTTTAAAAGCTATCTATGCTATTATGTCCAAGGCCAACATCACTCTAAATGGAGAAAAATTGAAAGCTTTTCCTTTAAAAACTGAAACAAGACAGGGTTGYACTCTTTCACCACTTCTATTCAACATAGTCCTTGAAACTCTAGTCAGAGCAATTAGAAGAAAGAAATTAAAGGGATACCAATAGGAAAAGAAGAATTAAACTATCACTCTTTGCCAACTATAGGATTCTATATTTAGGGAATCCAAAAAATATCACCAGAAAACTTCTGGAACTAATAAATGAATTCAGTAAAGTAGTAGGATATAAAATCAACACTCATAAATCAAATGCATTTCTATACATCAGTGATGAATCCTCTGGGAGAGAAATTAGGAAAACTACCCCTTTCACAATAGCCACAAAAAACAAACAAAAAACTTGGGAATCAACCTAACAAAAGAGGTGAAAGACCTCTTCAATGAAATACAGAACACCAAAGAAAGGAATTAAAGATCACCTTAGAAGATGGAAGCATCTCCCTTGTTCTTAGATAGGCAGAATTAATATTGTCAAAATGTGGGCTGGGGATGTGGCTCAAGTGGTAGCGCGCTCGCCTGGCATGCGTGCGGCCCGGGTTCGATCCTCAGCACCACATACAAACAAAGATGTTGTGTCCGCTGATAACTAAAAAATAAAATATTAAAAAAATATTGTCAAAATGTCATGTTACCAAAAGTGTTATACAGATTTAATGCAATTCCAATTAAAATCCCAACAACATTCCTCATAGAAATAGAAAAAAGCAATCATGAAATTCATTTGGAAAAATAAGAGACCCAGAATAGCCAAAGCAATCCTTAGCAGGAAGAATGAAGCAGGAGGTACCACAATACCAGACTTTAACATATTCTACAGAACTATAGTAATAAAATTGGCACGGTATTGGCAACAAAACAGACATGTAGACCAATGGTACAGAATAGAAGACACAGAGACAAACCCACATAAATACAGTTATCTCATATTAGACAAAGGCACCAACCCCCCCCAAAAAAAAAACCATACATTGGAGAAAAGATAGCCTCTTCCATAATTGGTGCTGGGGAAACTGGAAATTCATATGCAGCAAAATGAAATTAAACCCCTATCTTTCACCATGCACAAAACTCAACTCATTGTGGATTAAGAACCTAGGGATTAGACCAGAGACCCTGCACCTAATAGAAGAAAAAGCAGACCCAAATCTTCATCAGGTAGGCTTGGGGATCTGACTTCCTTAACGGACTCCTAAAGCACAAGAAATAATATCAAAGTCAATAAATGGGATGGATTCAAACTAAAAAGGCTCTTCTCAGCAAAGGAAACAATCAGTAACATGAAGAGAGAGCCAACAGAATGGGAGAAAATCTTTACCAAATAGGCATCAGATAGATCACTAATCTCCAGGATATATAAAGAGCTTCAAAAACTTAACACCAAAAAAACCCCAAATAACACAATCAATAAATGGGCTAAGGAAGTGAAAAAGATATATAATTGATCAACAAATATATGAAAAATTATTCAACATCTCTAGTAATTATAGAAATGTAAATCAGAACTACTCTTTTAAGATTTTATTTCATTCCAGTCAGAATGGCAATAATCAAGAATACTAGCATCAGTAAGTGTTGGTGAGGATGTGGGGGAAAAGGTACACTCATACATTGTTGTTGAGTCTGCAAATGGGTGCAACCACTCTGGAAAGTAGTATGGAGATTCCTTAAAAAACTTGGAATGGAACCACCATATGATCCAGCTATCCCACTCCTTGTTCTATAGCCAAAACAGCCTACTTCAGTGACGCAGCTACATTCAATGTTTATAGCAGCTCAATTCACACAGCAGCTGAATTCGCAATAGCTAAACTGTGGAACCAACTTAGATGTCTTTCAATAGATGAATGGATAAAGAAACTGTGGTGCGTAGATACAATGGAATATTACTCAGCCTTAAAGAAGAATAAAATTATGGCATTTGAAGGTAAATAGATGGAGTTGGAGAATATCATGCTAAGTGAAATAAGCCAATTCCAAAAAACCAAAGATCAAATGTTTTCTCTAATATGTGGATGCTGATCCTTAATGGGGTGGGAGGTGAGGACAAGGGAAAAATGGAGGAATTTTGAATTGAGCAAAGGGGAGTGAGGGGAGGGGAGTGTTATAGGGACAGATGAGACAAGGCACCGAGGATAGCAGGAAACAATTTTATTTAGCTGAAGCCTGGTTCAGAGGCCACAGCTTTTGCTGAAATAAATCAATCCCCTGAACCCCGAGTTCAG